AACTACACTCTACTGTTAACTTATAAGTAGAAATATCTGTTTTTTTTTAATAGCTAAATATCATCCACCCTGTCCATATTGATGAGATAAAAAATTAATAGATTAATTATTTTTGCCCAGCGTTGGCGCTATTTTGGACGTTCAAAATTCCACAAAATATTTCAAGTTTGGGTCATTAAATAGAAAACCCTATTTATTTTCTTCACAATGTAAATTCTGTTTATTAATTTAAATAATGCGAAATACTAATTTTCATTATAGCACGCGAAATCTCTGCAAATGTTTTCAGAAGCTGCTTGGCTATCGAAAATTTTCAATGCGATGTGGAAGAGCTAAAAAAATTATTGAACAATCGAAGCAAGCAATTTTTTCTCTGGGCTTACGAAATTTAAAATGCATACCTAGAGAAATCGTTGCGCGTCTTCTGCGGCTGAGTCGAAGTAACGATTGAAGAATTTTCCTCAATCTGAAGAAGCACGCATTCCAATCATATATCTTCACTTGCAATTAGTACGTTCTTTACGAAGTGCGTCCGATAAACACCGACTCTTTGGACAAATCTAAAGTTGAATATAAAGTTGACGAAAGTGGTGAATTAATGAATTTTTGAACTTATGCTCCTCACCATTCTTCACACTTGCGATCCTAATTCTCATTTGCTCATCCGCATATTGAAATTGGCGGCTGGTATATCTGCGAATGGGTAGATATGTTGTTTCTTAATTCTTTAGAAGTGAAAATGCAATACATTTACGTTCATCACTAACTCAGAAATGATTTTTTTACTTACTAGTCCTCATCCACAATTTTTTAACTATAGACAGTTTAACCACCCCTTGTTTAGATCATTCTGACAGACGAAGCAATTTGTGGTTTCTGGGAAAACAACTAATTAATGTAATTCTTATGAAATCGTCAGAGTTATAACAAGCACTAAAGTCTCCAATATAACCTGGGTCTGTTGATTGCATATACTATGCGGCCATGATGAATTCCCAGAACAGGTGATTTTTATTATAACATTGAAGTTATGGCATTAGTCAGTTTTCAAGCATCAAAAATGACAGTAATAATTGCCCAATTGTCTATGATAGCTATTCAAGGACAAACTAAATACTTGACATCAGGGTTTGATTTTCACAAGGTTGAATTAGTTGTCATTCCGCTTGGATCCTGCTAGTAATGAAATGTGTTCCAAAGCTTGACTTGGTCAAAAGTGTCTATCCGTTGAGCTTATATAATTGAATTGTATTGACCAATTGCAATAATAGTGGTCCTGCCTAATATTCAAAATTATGGTGTATGTTTCAAATTTAAAAGTTTTTTTCTTAAAGGTTTCCCGAAGGAATAAGAATGACAATTGATTGGAGGGGACAATAAGATGCAGAGTTCTGTAGCAATTAAAATGTATACAGTTATTATGAGCTTATCGTTTCGAGCTCATTTAACCCAATTTCTTTCTTATAAACCAACCAGAATTGCATTATACCTGTAGCGGATTTCTACGCTAGTAAAGACTCAGAAATCTCTATGGCAGATTCTCCAACATCTAGCAGACCGACTCAGAAATCTCCATGGCAGATTCTCAAACATCTAGCTACCGGCTCAGAAATTTCTATGGCAGATTCTCCAACATCTAGCTAGGAATCAGAAATCTCTATGGCAGATTCTCCAACCTCTAGCTAGAGAACAGCTAAGCTATAGCTCAGCTATAAAGAAAACAGACGTGTAGCACGGAGCGCGTTTATATCTGTGGCAGATTCTCCTACATCTAGCTAGACTCCCAGAACGGCAGATTCTCCAACGTCTAGCTAGACTCCCAGAACCAGGGAGATTCTCCTACATCTAGCTAGACTCCCAGAACCAGCTAAACCATAGCCCAGCTATAAAGGAAACAGACGAGTAGCACGGAGAATTCTCCAACATCTAGCTAGACTCCCAGAACAAGCTAAGCTATAGTTCAGCTATGAAAGGAAACAGACGTGTAGCACGGAGCACGTTATACGGATATTGCGGAGGAAGTGTACACGCAGGGAGCTTAATCATGATCAGGATGGCGTTAGGTTAAACAAACAGATGTTAAGGATTGGTCACTGTTTGTACGGTCGCACCTCCCAATGAGGTTAATGATTGGTCACTGTTTGTACGGTCGCACCTCCCAGTCCTGGCGTGCAGGCATGCGATGACGTGTCCCACAAGGCTTGCTTGCGATGACGTCCTAAGCGATGACGTGACACACATACCCCATATTTACCTGAAGAGAAATTTATCTCATTAAAAGTGAATATGTTTCATTTAAGCTCAATTCGGATTGGCTTATTTATTTAGAGAAAACATATTTACATGGTTTCATAAAACTGACAACATTTACGTTGGAACACAATGGATTCAGAGGATTTTGAAGAGCAAAATAATGATATCAATTTCTACTTTAGAACCTATGTATTATTCATTGCTATCAACTTTGTAAGCGCTAATATTTTATTGGGGAAATAACTCCTCCCTTTTAGATTTTGGCTTTACTCATGACTGGATACGGCATATATCTCCTTTCAGCTAATGATTACGCTGAAATATTCTCAGAATTTGCTTATGCATTGGTTGGTTCTGGTATTCTTGCAATTATTGCGTTTGCATTGGGACTTACCACTTGGTACAAGACGTATTTCACTACCGCCTACATTGTTAGAACTTCGAATTCTACCACTTATTCCACGCGGTATATTGTTTTGCTTGTTGCAGTGACTATTGCGGGAACTGTGCTTGGAAGCCTAACAATTATTAATCTCGATCACATTGAGGTTGGTGCTATCACTCTTGGATTTGGAAGCATTGGATTACTATCGCTTCTAACTCTGCTATTCATAAGCAAAAAGCGCAATAATAAGAAAGAATTTTGCGAAAATAGCTCTCATTATTTGAAAATCGCTTTGAATTGTGGCATTGTAAAAGAAAAATTATTATGAAAATAAACGCGCTATTAAGGTATATAGAGCTTTTTCAAAATTTGTTCAATCTAAACTTTTAAATTTATCGAGCTAATTAGTGCACACCTATAACTGTTTTATAAATTTTATCAGCTAGTGGATATAATTTAGGCAAGCCAGTTAAACTTATTAAAGTATTTTAATCTTCCTTCTTTTTAAATCGCTTTTGTAACTTTCAAGAATTAAGGCTACTTCGAGCTTTGTTTCCTCATTAGTCGCTATTTATGCCTATAGGATAGACCTGCATGGCCCTAAACCCTAATGTAATTGGAGAGATTCAAGGTATTACTACAGTACTCATCGACTGTCATCTATCTATGGGCATTTGTAATTGCAGTGCATGGCAAACGCAAGTGCATATATGCATGTTATGATGTGTAGATTATTTTATTGTTTAAAAGGATTCATTTTGATGTACAATCTCTCTATCTTTCTTTTAAATTCACTTCGGATTGTTCAACAGAAATAGCTGAAAATTAGCAATAGTTCCGTCAAACCCGCCTTCATATTCTTGCATAGAAATGTGTATTTGTAACAATCACTCATTCCAAAACAAAGAGATTAGTACAACATGCAATTTGTCTACCAAGTCCTGATATCTCAGTACATGAAATGAAAACGAACTGCGCAGAGAGCGTTTCCTGCTCTTCATATCAATTATTATTTAACAACCTGGGGTGCGCAATAGACTAACCTCCACGTGGTGCACCCTGGGCAGCGTATACTTATGCGGCCAAAAAGTCTATTGATTGGCAGTTGACTTCTGACTTCAAACTATTATGGCCCGATTATTTGTCATATGTATAATCCTAATGAACACGATAGTATTTTATCAATTTACATACACAAAGGGTAACATTAAATGTTCCAATAACCAGAATATGATTATGATGCAATGTTACAATTGTGTCCTGCAAAAAACAGTAAATTTTCTGACTGGTGTTCTAAATTGAGCATTTCAAAACCTTTCTTTTACATAGAGAGGGTATGGCAGTAAAGTGACACCACGTGAGTTTAA